TAGGTCCAAGGTATATTAGTGTATACAGGCATTTCTATTCTTAACACTGGCTACAAACTGCGACCACTATTAACAGGTTAGAAGATACTGTGTAGCTCTCCTGTCTATTAATTTTCAGCCCTGCATCACCAGCAGTCATTCAACAGAGAATTAAAGGTTGAATAACTGCTAGCACAGGTACTAGCTTGAAAGCAAGGGCACAGAAGTTTTATTTGCTGCAGAGAGCAAGAGAGAGAGGAAAAGAGGAGAAATTCAAAGAAATGCTGAATTGGACAGCCACACAGGGTATCGAGCAAAATAGATAAAGATCTGAGAAAAAAGCACCAAGCAGCAAGGCCAAAGGAGAAGGCTGTTGGGCAACATGGTCTCTGATTGCAAAACACTGTAAGCATTTTCACTATCAGTTACAATACTGTGGGTTTTTATCTTTTCTATGATTTTTTATTCCTTGCAGCACTTCTTGCTTTCTGCAGATAAACTAGAAGTGGTATTGGTGACACAGATCACAGCTCTTTTCTGGCACAGCAGGCTTTGTCCCTCCCCAAGGTAATTATCCCTTTCCCTCAGTGAAAATACATAGTGCTGTCCATCACAGTTTTGGAAGTGACACAAAACAAACATGGAGCATGAAGTAAGAACCAAGCATTTGTTAGACCAACAGCAGACATAGTTTCCCCTTTGCTGTGTGCCTCACATTGTGCTTTGTGAGGCACTAGTCTGTGTCATCAACCCTCTCCCTTGTGCCTGTGGAGAAAACATATGCGACTTAGCCAGACTGCTCATGACCTCAAATATGCAAAAGCTTCCTATGGTGGAAACCTGATGCAAGGATATTTATCTTTAAACCTTTTGTAAACCTTTATCTTTGAACTTTTTTGCCAAACCCAGGTTTTCTAGTACTTTTATAATAATGTCCTTTCAGACTGTGTTAGAAATCTTATCATAATCGAAATCTAACAGTGTAACTGTTCCATAGCCATAGGGACAGCAAATATCTTGTCACAGAAGAAAACTAAATAAGGTAGACACCACTTGCTCTTGATAAACTCATTATATGCTGGGAGTTTACAAACTTTTTTTATGGTTCCTGAGTTTGTGAGCATAAACGTCACCTCTTTCAAACTTCAATCTTTCGCATTTTGCACTGTGTTTTACCAACAGTCAGGTGATACGAGATTTCAAACTGCCCTTCTTGAGGAAGTTTCTGCCTCATAAATTTGGAGAAAAAGGCCAGTTTGTGTGTGTGTAGTAAAGTAATTCCTTCATCTCTGGAACAGAAACCTGTGAAACTCCTTCCATGTGTAATTGTCTCCTGATGCTGCAGCTGGTATAAGCCGCAATCAAAGCTCATCCAGAACTTGAGCATTGCTTTGGTCTCCTTCCTGGGTAAGTTCCCTGTTATTTTAACAACATGGTTCTTGAGACAGCTTGTCTCAGAGGCCTGGCTTCTCTTCCTGACCATCTGTCTTGCACAGCTTGTAGGAAATTATCTCTAAGGCTCTTCCTCTGTCGTATCTGGTCAAGAGAAGCCAGAAGCTCTGAAGTTATCAGAAAAATTCAGTGGTATGATGATGTTCTCCTAGTTTCCATGGGAAACCATGTCAATAATCTCCAGATAGAGCAGGCTGAGTAACAGGATGATATATGAGCCAATCCAACAGCTGTTTTTGACATCTTACCAACTGCAAGACATTAACTCTGGGTGAGTAACATTCTTGAATTATAGCTATGGCTTTTGCACAACAGTTATTTCAAACCTGATCACATTGGCTTATTGGGATCTGTAAATGTCTCAAAGAAGGTCTTTTACGTGGAGTTAGAGGAATTGTGGTAAAAAGGAAGCAGGAGCAGAGGGGCAGGTGCAAAGCTACTGTGCAGCCTGTCAGGAGCACAGTGTGGGGTAACAAACACTGAAGATGCACCCTTTGTTCTCCAAGTACTTACTCTGACACGGATTTCTGGGTTTGTGGAAACACAGGGCACTTATTCTTAGCCATTCCTTGATACTTGTTGATTCATGTGCTTGCAGTTTTCCAAGTATTTGCTTTACCTACAAAAAATCAGTTTGGTCTCTATCTATCTCAGTTAATGGACTTTTATCTAATACAGTCTCCCTCCCCCTCTAAGAAGTAGAACTCCTGTGTGACAGAGGTTATCCTTACAGTATTTCAAGGCATTATACTGGCAGCTGCATTCTTTTCCACAAACACAATGTATGAAAAGGCAAACAATATTTATTCCAAACGCAGTTTAATGTTGCAAAGTATTACATACTTTCCACAAACATTCAGTATACAGACTTTAGCAGAGACGAAGAAAAACAAAAACACCAACACCACTCCTTACATACTAATTGAATTGTAGTGACTGTGAATTGGGCAAGTGTTTGCCATCACAGAGAGCTAAACACCCTTTCTTAAATAACCTAAAGTTTAATCTTCAAGGAATGATGACTATCACACACTAATATACAGAATCTACATTATGCTCAACACACTATTGCATCCCACTAAATAAACTAAAATACTAATTGAACCTAAACAGTACAAACCCACACACTTCCTGCCAGCAAGGGAAGAAAGCATTTTGGGGCTTTAAAACCTGAGGGTGCATATAAATCACTTTATACTCCAACATAATACACGTACTTGTGCATGTTTATTCCTATATATGATCAGGGCAGTGCACAAACCCACTGTATGCCAATCACACACTTCTTTGGGTACTAATGTTATTATGATCGTGCACTCTGTAAAGCTGTGAATCTGATAAAAACTGCCTTTTTTTTCTTTTTTGAAACAAGTGTAGCCTTTGTCAGAACATGTAAGTTAATGTAATGTAAAGTGCAGTAGCTACACTTAAAAATTGTGGGCTGCTGTTAGAGTGGAATATTCCCAACTAGTTCTATAATGGAGATCAGATAGTGATCTTTGTTCATAGAATCTTCTATAAGAGTACAAAGGCTAGAGGTTAGTTCATAAAAATACAGGAGATGATTCTTGGCCTCTACCTGTATTCACTCACCTCTGCAATAGCTGAATGCACTCTGCCAGGTTTTTCAATTACAAAATTACTTCTTCGTGAGCAGTTAGACTCTGCAGAAGACAGCAGTTGACAGCAGGTTGATTAGAGCCCTTTGAGTCAAAGGTTGCTTTCAAAAAAATACTAAGTAGGAAGGCTCCAGTAATTTTGCATTATGTCTGCAGTTACTAAGTTTCCAAGCAATACTGAAAATAACTTATTTACCATAACATAATAATTTAGAAAATAATATTGTAAAATCTTACCCAAAGTAGGACCATGTCAGGCATCTACAACATTAGCTGGGTTCCAGCCAGCAAGCCTGTCTGTATAAGGATCTAATCATATGAATTTTAATACCTGAGAAGTGTATTTCATATTTAGGGAGAGAGGAAGGAAAAGGAAAAAGCAGCTGTGTTTCAAAGAGTAACAAACATTACTGTATGAATTTTTACAAACAAGTTTCATATAAAAATTATATGACTGCGTCAAAAAACCATGTTTCTCTCAGACAAATCTACCACCAAGTGATAAAAATCTGCACTGTTCCACTGGACAGATTTTGCTGGTTTTATAATCTGTCAGTCAATCTGACAGTAGGCTACTTACCAGCTTTGAAGTTCTCAAGAAGACAGTCACATCTCCCACTAACAAAACTTTGCTTTAAGCATAACAGCATACACCTTAGCTCTTGTTTTCTAAGCACAGATTTGAATATAAAAGTTATCTTAAAAGTTTTACAATGCTTGAAAGTTAATTCACCCCAAAGTTCTTGTTAAAAGTCACTTTCCTAAAGATGACACTGTATAGAGTACATTTTCACATTAACAAAAAACAAGTACAATATGAGACAAACGAAAGCACAGTGGAAATGATATTCCCTGGTCTAATATTAAAAAATTAAATATTTGGAAAAATATCCAAAGCCTTAACCTACTTACAGTTCTGATATTAGGTGGAATGTAAGCAGACCTTTTTTTCCAAGACTGCAGCTATCAGCAGCTACAACTGCTAATATTTGGAAAACATGCCTATACTTTGCATCATTTTTTAAACAGAACTAGCATAAATTGCTGCAAAAAACCCACAGCCATTCCTGAATCTCAACCCCAAAGTATAACCTTAAAATTAAACAGATCTAGACATTGCTCATCTTTACAAAACAGGCTGAAAAGGAACAGAAAATTTGAATCCATTGTTGTTTTCTAAGAATGCAAGACAATGTCACATTTCATTGCTCACTGAAATCTAAGTCTTCAGCTTGGTTTTAAGCAGTTATCTACTTTTTTACCTAAGTATAACTAGCAGAGCACTGGACTATTGTTTATGTCACTTGCAATGCCTTGGTGAGAAGTTAACTCTCAAATTGGATGTACAGGTAGGCACCTATGAGTTCTTGTAGTTTAATCACACTGTCAATCTGAGCTATTACTGAAGCTAATGTTCAGACTTCTGTGTGGACTTCAATACCAAATTCAAGACCAAATGTCTCTGTAGAGGTAGACAGGGATTTCTGTGACATTTCTGTAAGATGGAAATATGCAGCATACAAACGTCTAAGGGTCAGTCTACAGAAAAATTCAAAACCTTTGAACTCCTATTTAATCTTAGTGACAATCTTCTGTCAGCTATTCTCACATTTACACTGCCTAAATGCACTGATTCAGTTGCCCAGTTGCAAACACTTTGCACTTGTCTCCTGTCATACATGGGGAAGGAACCACATAATCTGTGATCCAATGCGATGCACAGCTGAACTCACTGTACACATGCCAGGCTGGGAGGAGCACGTGCTTCGAGCACACTCTTGTGGCCATGTGCAACCACATCAAAGTCATATTTGAGAAGGACATAGGAGAGAGCATGTAGGCATCTTGGACTGGCTTCTTTCACAAATAAAGCCTTAAGTCAGAAGTTACAGATGAAGTGAATCAAGCACCAGAGGTGACCTACTGCAGAAACATCACTCCTTGAGCTTCATATTTGGAAGGAGCTTTTATCAAGAGAAATGCTACATTGAAAATACAGTGCAAAACAGAGCCAACGAGAGAAGGTAATGGTTCCTTTAGAGTTTGAGGGCTTCCTCCTTCCTGCTTCCTGTCTCCTCTCCAGAGAGGAAAGAACACCCTTGCTTCCTCTTTCCATGACACCTGAAGTGCTGCATATCTTAGGAAGAAGATAAAATACAACCCTATTCAATTATCATCATTTAAATACTGTCTGTGCTGGAACATAAATTGACTCTCCATCTCCGTTCCATGGCTAACTTCATGTGACCTTCACAGGTGCTTTCTTGTGTGCGCAGAGGAGGGTGACGTAGGGAACCCCAATGAAAGCCCATCTTTCGCTGGGCCAGAACTTTATGACAGGGCCTTGCTCAGGAATCTCAGAGGCAGCATCGAAGTAAGCAAAGCAGACGCAGCCCAGGTACGCCGCAAGGCAAATCAAAATGTGCCTGAATAGACACCCAACCCCCCCAAAAAAAGAAAAATAAGTAACATGACTTGAGTAAAGCAATCAAACATCTCACCATGCTTTACAATCAGTCTATCCTTCATCTTCTTCCCCTGAGTACCCCCTACAGGGTTGCTGGCTGCCCTGTGCATGCAGGCAAAAAACACAGAGAATAAAGAAAACTACAAAACCATAGCTTATCCTTGGACTAAACTGGCTGCAGCTGTTTTGTCTCTCTGCACATGACAGATCTGCGTAGAAATGCTGAGATATGGTATAAGAGAGCGCAACTTGCCAGGTGGTAAGAGAGAAAAGGCATCAGTCTTTCACTCCTCCCCCACTTCACCCTCGGTTGTTAACAGTGGAATTTTAAGCTTTCACAGTCACTGGTTCAGTTGAGCAGTGCTGCAGAATTTTTAGCAACCGGTAGAGCAAGGAATTCAGTTAGAATGAATGAACTTAGTGTCTAAAGAATCCGATCAGGCCAAGGAGACTCCTAAATCTACCACCTTGGATGGCATGAGACTTGCTCTGGGCTTATAATCTTAACAGTAATTCTATAGAGCTTTAACCAGAATTAGCCACCAGACTGCACAGAAGGGTAATGTGCCCTTGCGGCCAAGGCGGCCAGTGGTATTCTGAGGTCCATTAGGAAAAGCACTGCCAGCAGGCTGAAGGAGGTGATCCTCCCACACTGCTCTGCCCTCGTGAGGCCACATCCACAGTACTGTGTCCAGGTCTGGGCTTCTCAGTACAAGACAAGGAGCTACTGGAGAGAGTCTAGTGAAGGGCTACAATGACGATTAGAGGACTGGAACATCTCTCTGATGAGGAAAGGCTGAGAGCGCTGTGCCTCTTCAGCCTAGAGAAGACAACTGAGAGGGGATCTTACCAATGCACACTAGTATCTTTAGGGCCAGTGTCTGGAGATGGGGCCAGACTCTTTTCAGTGCTGCCCAGCAACAGAATAAGGGGCAATGGGCACAAACTGTAACACAGAAACTTCCACCTGAATACGAGGAAGAGCTTCTTTACTTTGAGGGTGGCAGAGCACTAGGACAGGCTGCCTGAAGGTTGTGGAGTCTCCTTCTTGGGAAATACTCAAAACCTGCCTGGACACAATCCTCTGCAACCTGCTCTAGGTGAACCTGCTTTAGCAGGGGGATGATCTCCAAGAGGTCTCTTCCAACCCGAACCATGTTGTGATTTTGTAATGTGGTGAGGATATAACACATTTTAATCAAACTCTGGACTTTATACGCAACACTTACCATACACAGTGCAAATATGGGAAATTAAATGAGGACCAGATCTCACAAAATGCTTTGTCACTGATCCAGCACAAAAGCGCTAACATCCACCAAAGACCTGAAAAGAGACCCAGTTTGTACACACGCAGGTTTTCACACCTAAGGAGGAAAACACAGAGAAGTTGTTATAAAACAATGCAAAATTTGCTTTGCAATGTCAGCTTAATGCTTTTTGGCCATACATATTTTAGGGTAGGATTCACAGTGCCATCTTTAATATGGCTGCACAATAAATGTCCTTAATAGAGAAACTTTTCTTACAGTAAATATGGCTCTGATGCAAGGCAGTGGCAAGGTAACAAACCAAACCTTTTAAGCAGTAGATGAGTTTTGGGTATTCTATTAAAGACCAGTGTACGAATGGTAGGCAAACATCAAAGCATTCTCATACGTAAGGAGTGGCAGCTAAGACCTAGTAACTAGTGATTAGTTACACATGCTGTCTGGTAACAAGTAGCCACACAGGAAGTGCTCAGATTTGTTTGTATTTGTCACTATATAGAGACTGATTAAAAAGGGAACTGAATGAGAGTTTTTTTAATTGGTTAGGTGATTCTTTTCCCCCTGTTTGTACTGTACAACGTAATAGTCCCAGAGAACTTCTAAGGTAGCAGCCTCTACCCAGAGGGCCCAAAGAAGCACGCTGTAGTTGATGGTGCAGGGATCCACATCTCAGGATTCCTCATGCTGAGTATGCCACAGTTCTCCCCCTCCACAAGAACCCTGACTTGTTCATATAGGGGTATACTGGAAAGAAAAAGAAGACAAAACACTTGCTGTGGTCGCATGCAGTGTGGTCATTAGTCAACCATCACTGAATACACCACCAGATGCCAGGGTACCTACTTAGCTTGAGTAGACCTGTGTTGCAGGTCTACTCAAAAGCTCACAATTTTATTTCCCTACCTGGTACTTCGTTCTTTTCTACATCTTGGAACTGTCCTAACAACTGTACAGCTTTGCTCACGAGTAAACTCAGGAAAAAGGTAGCATCATTATCAATATAATCTTCAGGTCCCAAAGTGCTATTAAAGTCAAAGTATGCTTCTCACTCATCTTCTGTGTCTTACACTTCTGCCATAAACATATTGGGAATGTCTCCATGACTCTTCCTCTCCAGCAGATCACCAGCCAACCCTTCTCTCTGCTCCAATCTAGTCACCCCAGTAAGCTTGACACTGAATCACCAGTATTCTTCCACGCAATTCCTGGGCCAATTCACTGCATCTGGAAGATGAGCAATGCCTGGCAAACAGATCCTTTAAGGGGACACTTCACCTTGTGACACTCATAAGCAATTAAAAAGTGTATCCTTGGAGGAGGGAGCTTGAATAGTCACACACGTCTTTACTGTCTGTACTGCAGTAGTAATTGTGGTCCCTGATCTTTACACACAACTGTCCTTGACAAGTGACTAACACAGTGCAGCACACACCAAAAAGCAATTTGGTCCTCCTGTCTTCCATGCAAAATACTTGTCAGCCTGAAACCTGATGTTCTCATTTGATACATTTACAGAGTTCTAACTTTTCCAACACTTACTGCTAATTGTCTCCGTGGCCACACACAGCCTACAAGCCACAGGCTACCCTGCATTCATTGTCAGGGAAGTAGTATTGCCAGCTCTGTCCTATGATAAAATTTATCACTACACCCTACAACACGTGAGATGATCTCTAGCTACTCAGCTGGAGGAGGACAGGAGAAGAGAATGACTCCTGCCTTTCTGTGGTAGAAAAGCAAAAGCTCTGCTGGTACCAGACTGTAGCTAAGGTATCTTGATTTCAGCTGTAACAGTTAATTTTTCTCCTTCCTAGTAGCTGGTGCAGTGCTGTGGCCTTAGTCTGAGAACAATGCTTATAACACACCGATGTTTTAGTTGTTAATAAGTAATGCTTACTCTGATCAAAGACTTTTCAGTCTCATGCTCTGCCAGGGAGGAGGGGCACAAGAAGCCAGGAGGGAGCAGAGACAGGACACCTGACCCAAAATGGCCAAAGGGGTATTCCATACCACAGCACGTCATGCCCAGTATATAAACTGGGGGGAGGTACACAGACGGCCAGATCGCTGCTGGAGTCGGGCTGGGTATCAGTCGGCAGGTGGTGAGCAATTGTGTTGTGCATCACTTGTGTTTATGTTGGGTTTTTTTCCTTTCCCCTTTTATGTTCTTTCCCCTTGTTATTTCCCTTATCATTATCATTTTTAGTAGTCGTAGCAGTAGTACTTTTGTATTATACTTTAGTTACTGGACTGTTCTTATCTCAACCCATAGGGTTTACATTCTTTTGATTCTCCCCCCCACCCCACCTGGAGGAGTAATGGGAGGGTGTGTGAGTGGCTGTGTGGTGCTGAGTTACCAGCTGGGCTTAAACCACGACATAAGGAAACCGAAGTAAGCATTCAGAAAAATTAAAAATGTATGCAGAGTGCTCTGTCCAGCAACACTTTTCTGAATATATTGTAGGAGCAGCAGTATACCTGGCACTGGTGTATTGCAAACTAAAGATTAGCACAGTTTTCCCTGTAGAATATTTTTTTTCACTCTTGAAATGCTCTGTCAGTTGCCATTTTAACAGATATTTTGGATTAAGAAACTCCTAAAGCTGAACAGAAGGCACCTTTATAGCTACTGGATTAACAACAGAAAAGCTACCAACTGCCTAATCTTGTTGACAGAGGATTTTCTCTGGTGTCCTTTGCACAAGTTGATTTTAGGATCTGGCATCTCTTTTTTAAGCCATTCCTAAATATATCACCTATTTTTATTATTCAAAAGAGCACTTCAACAACCAGCTAAACTGTAATCCTCACCACAAGAAAGATACCACAATTGTTGTTTTCATAATAAACATACCTACATGACTGCCACAAAAATTAATATTCCACATAGCATATAAACCAAAATGGCTTTATTTCTTAGGCCTGAATCCTTCAGTCCACTTGGCAAGCCACCAGACATAGTCAGAGGTGAGAGGGCTTGCCGAAGATGGCTTCAAGATTGTCTGTGCTGCATACTGTAAAAAGGCTTGTTTCCTCTGAAATAGTGTCTTTAAGTTTAAAAAGGCTACAAGAAGCAGAAAGAAAAGAAAGATTAAGGATATTTTTGAGTTGCCTATCAAGTTCTAGAGCTCAGCTATACAAATTCTTCTTTATGCTCTTTTATGAGACACCCCAGTAAGAAATACAGTAAAGACTTCGCATGCTTTTTTAAGTCAAACTATACTGGTAAATCCTCCTCATTTTAAAGGATTCATCTTCTATCAAATGGCCGGAGAGCACGGATCCCTTCATAAAATATGGGGGAAATTGTCATTGGTCAAAAACCACTGCTATCCAGAATTAAGCATACAGAGCTTAATTCTCTCCCATTAATGCTCTTAATGGTTTATACTCTTCAATGAGATGCACAACTGTTCATAAGAAAAAGAACTGTGACCCGAGCGTATGTGTCAATTTTGTACTTTTGACAGATAAAACTGGACTGCTGTGCTAGGTACTTGTGCATTCTGACAGAGGAAAGGGTGTGTGTATTGAGAACACAGAGGCCTTCCTGGACTTCTCTTAAGGACATAAACAAACATGTGCAACTGCATCCCATTTAAGTTAAGACGTTTGGCCTCAGACATCCAGCTCCTTTGTAAGTGACCATGCCTGTCAATATTTGACTAGCTTGAATACCAAGAGGAGAGGAAAATTAACCTGCATGTTTCTTAGGGTTCAAGGCTGCAAAGCAAAACTAAGAGCTTACCTGAAGGAACTTTCCCAGTGTGAGATCAGCCACAGAAATGGTACAGATTATAATGACAGGTTTGCTCACTACCACCATCAGATACTACAATTTATTTTTATAAACTTCAGACAGGATGCTGCAGGGTGTACTGCAAAAGATAACTCTAAGGCAGAAAGAGTTAAGCTCAATGAGGACAGCACAACCTGCTGGTCTGTTCAAACTCTCATGTTTTCTGTGATCACCCATCATAGAGTCTTCAGCTCCTACAGTGACTGTTTCAGATGGGCTAACCCTAACCCTAACAAGGTTGCAGAGGAGACAAGGGACTGCAAAGCTTCCTACCTGCCAGTGTTTTTACTACAATGAGGAGATGTAATGCAAATACTACCTGGATGCTAGCAAAAGGCACAGACCCAACCCACTTCTTTTATTTCTCAATAGGCACAGGCACTGATCATTCAAACTACCACTGAAACAGAACATGTCAGCTGATGGCTTAAAAGAGCTCTTCATGCTGCTGTCCACAGATCTGTCACATGCTCCTATCTTATTCTGGTCTGAAAGAAGCTTGCACTTCCACTTCCAACTTTTGCCTACACAATGCACAGTCTTGTTGGTTTAACACAAACAGCAGTTATTTTAATACCAGAGTTTCTGCAAACACTGGTGTGTCCTAGCCATTTGCTATTCGAGGGACTGCACTGCTACACAATTACAGCAGCTTTATTTTCCAGTGTCATGGCACCCCCAACAAAACACACGAGCTTTTCTTCAAACCAGTGCAAGCTGCTGCATGTCAATTTACTGCTTGATTCATTTTGACACAGTTATCTCCTTTTATAGCCTAAGGAGTATTTTAAATTTTTAACTAGCTTAACCTTTTAGTCAAGAGAATCTTCATTCTCTTTGTGCAGTGAGCAACCTGCAACAATGAAGCAGGGATCCCCCCACTGCCAGATTTCTAGTAGGAAAATCAAGTATGAATGTACAGAGTAAACCTTCACTGCTCAGAGCTGCTGCCAGCTAAGCAACAATATTCTAGCCTCTATCTGCATATGGAGATAGTTAGATGCCTGATTATAACTCACTGAATAACTCATCATACTAATTTGATGACATTATAATCTCACTGGTTATTTGGCTTGAACCAGCAAATCAAATGATCCATACCTACTTCGTCCCTGACACCATCTCCTAAAAGAGCTTTTATGGGGGTCTTTTTATGAAGCACACGAAGAGATTTGTTTGGACAGAGATGAGAATACAGTTTAACCATTTCTTTGTCTTTCAAGGACAAGTATGCACTTAACTACCTTTTTCTCTTTATATCATCTCCCACCCACAATACTTCCTAGCATACACTCTGCCCTACCATCCCTTCATTTAAGAACGTAACACTCATTTGTGAAAATACTATCTCTTCATCAAGGACAAGTGAGGTACAGAAAATTCTCATTTGAAAACACAGTTGTTCTGATTCACCAGAATTCTGTACAAGATTGACACCAGGCTACATCAGGAATAACAACAGGGAGTTTTGGTCTAACGCATCACATACGGCATGGAACAGAAGAAACTTCTCTGGAGGCTTTTCTTCTTCCTTCCCCAAATACCAGTTTCACAGATAAAATGATGCTGCAGACTGCCAGGCCTCAAATGTGTAGCTCCCTAATGACTGTGGTAGTAGAGAAGGGAAGAATTGTAGGCATTTTAAATAATGCTTGTATTATTTTTTCTACTAACAAAATGGATGAGATGACTTCTCTCTTCCAGGTTTACAAGAATATATCTTACTTACATCTCCTAGGGATCAACACAGCTTAAAATAAAACTCTTAATTATTTTCCTTTTATACTCAAGAATTTGTTTAAAAAAAAAAAAAAGCAAGCATCCAATACACAATTAAGAGGGTCATATGTCACTGTAGGTCCCTTTTTAATCACCGATTCAAAAGAAAGCTTATCTGTGTCCTTAATTCTCTTTCAAACAACAGACAGGAAAACTTCACATTTTGATAAGATATGACCTTTGTGAAGGAGTTTTAAAAAGCAAAGATCTGTAGGCATACCAGCTCCTAGATTTGAACCAATACTAATTTGAAGCTAACTAACTATTCATCCAGTTTTCTCAGGAGCTCATGACTGGAAAACTGATATGTATAGAGTTCACATAAATTATTCAGCACCATATACGGATCTCCATTTGCCTTGTCAGTAGTTCCTCGGTGCTCACATCAAAATGAGACACCTCCACCAACATTTTTCAACTACTTGTCTACAACTAACTTGTGTCCTGTTTCCAAAGCTGCTTTGACAGAAATAAATGCTGCTTAGCAGGATGTCTAATGAGAAAAGACTCATGACCACCTTTACAAAACATTGCTAGCAGAGACTTCCACCTCATGGAGAAGCAGTGGCACAATAGGTTAAGGTAGCAAACAGGAGAATCCCTGTTCTAATGGGAGCAGTCAGAATGGAGATATTTAGTCCTATTTGTTTCTTTTGATGGACATAAGCAACATGTACTAGGCAACATTAAGTTGTAAAATCCTTATCAGACACTGGAGAAAAAGGGGAAAAGACAAGTTCATATGCCAGTACTTGTCTGGTCATTTGTGCCCCCAGTGAAGAGATTCAAGGAAAAAAGTCTCTGTACAGCTACTGGTATTGCTATCACGGTAAGACTCTAAAGTGCTTGCTAAGATCAGCCTCAAGTTCTCCTCTATTTGCATTCTGGCTTTATAGCTTCTAAGGCCATGACTGACAGTTATCCTCTACAATCTAGTGATTAACCTTACCTTTGTCAGTCTGACTCCATCATATTACACATATCAGAAGACGAAGTGGTGTAAAAGTCACAGTACAACTTTCAGAACTAGAACATTTTCCACGCATGCTTGGGCCTTGCTCCACATTCCCTCTAGTATCTAGACTTGATCATGCAATCACCTCACCCTTACACAAACTATACAACAGAAATGCTCGGCAGAATGAAACCCTTGCCCTGATTGCACAGTAAGCAAACAAATTTGAGTTACATGAGGTTGCAGCAAGACATTACCTCACAAGAAGTCAGCCAATATGTGACCTAGTTTTTGGTCCAGGGGTTAAAAAGAAAAATCCTCGTCAAAAATATCTTGAACTGGCAGAGCAAGTTTATACCAGATCTGCACTTAGCTGTGGTAGAAGCATTTCTGATCTGCAGAAGCAGATCAAGCACTAAAGTCAGACCTCGTGTGTTATCACACAGTGGCCTAAGGATCTCAGAAGACAACACTGCATACAGGAGAAATGTACTCACCTCTTCAACTCAGCAATGAGCAAAGCTGTGCAGGGAACACCCAGAGTCATTAGTGAGATATTGTTGATGGCAGGCTTAATGAAGGCAAGGCAGGTAGTAACTCCAGACAGGACACCTACAGCAGCTTTAAATCGGCTCCTGAATAGGATTTTTTGGGGGACAAAATCTGCTTTTAATTCAAAACTTCTAATTACTAACCCCACAATTCTTAAAATTACGTTTGTAACAGGTTTCTAAATAAACACTTAGCCTTTGAATACTTAAACACCATCCTTAACCACTGCCTTAATTATTCAGATGAAAATACAGCTAACTTCCATAGGTCCACTTTTACGTACACCTTAGGCTATACAAAAGGTAGAAGGAAAGAGGGTTTCTCTTACTTTACTTTAGCTGCAACTTATGTAAGCTACTCATGTAAAGGTCTCCCTAGAATCAACAAGAACAAGCACTTCCAGAGGCAAGTCACCTCAACTGCAGACTCAGGAATTCTGGAAAAAATGGGCTGAGATCATAGAATCATAGAATGGTTTGGGCTGGAAAGGACCTTAAGATCATCTAGTTCCAACTCCTCTGCTATCGGCAGGGACACCTCACACTAGACCATGTCACCCAAGACTTCATCCAACCTGGCCTTGAACGCTGCCAGGGATGGAGTGGCAGCCTGCTCCAGTGCCTCACCACCCTCACTGTAAAGACTTCTTCCTTATATCTAACCTGAACTTCCTTTGTTTCAGTTTGAACCTGTTAACCCTTGTTCTGTGGCTACAGTCTCTAACAAAGAGCGCCTCTCCAGCATCCTGGAAGGCTGCTATGAGGTCTCCACGCAGCCTTCTCTTCTCCAGGCTACAAGCAATAGGAAGAAAATGGAGTAAGAAAAGGTAGTGGCAGCAGTGCTAAGGTTGGATGATAACTCAGTGCCATTATGTGCAGATTCAGATGTCAGCATACAAAGTTTCAAGAAACATGAAAATGTACATGTATGACTGTTACCTGTCATTCCGAAAAACTCTGGGCAGGTATCTCCTAGGGAACCACATGGCAAGAGCACACATCAGGACCCAGAGAATAGCCAGCTCATCCAGCATCTGGCCCAGGAAACTGAGGGTGGCATGAAAGTAAACAGATCCAATACCTGGAATAATCAATAAAAAAGGCAATATGAATAGTTGCAGCACTGTAGAGACCAAAACACACTGCTCATGTTCAGAATCTCATAGCAAATGGTGGATACCATTTGGCCTAGAAAAGATTAAAAAAAACCCAAACAAACCAAAAAAACCCCAACCAAAATACAAATTCCAACTTTCCAAAGATGGCAATCCAAATCATCAGCACCTTAGTAACAACAAAGCAAACACTTCACAAAAGCAGCAGCTAAAGATGCCAGCTTCTACTAAAAAAGTAGATGTATGTAAAGAAACATCCGGTAGTAAAGTTAAATGTAAAACTAATTAAGAAATAATAGCCAAATGCTGCTTCTGAATTTTCTCAATAGCACAAGAGTGGGTAAGACAAAGATCAAAAGCAGTATCTGATGACTACTTCACAACACAGGTTTACAGGTGGAAAATGTCAGACTGCCCCACAGGGCTCTGATGTAAAAGTTTGTAAGTTCCCTGTGCCTCCAGGAATGAAAAGAATCTCACAGCTACAAAACAGCTAAGCCTCTGGGCTTTCTCACTTAATGCAAAACCTGTTACTCTCTTCTGTTGTGCTGGTATTGCTAGCAAGAGCACTTTCAGCTCACATTTAAGCAACAACTGAGGAAAGAGTGTCAACACTACTGTAGAGTGTCCTGGCCCTGTGACAAGATTAAGTTCAGATATAAACAAAAGAAATTATGCAAAGAAGGATAGGAAGAAAGAGAACGAATGTCTAAGTTCCCACCAACCTCAAATAGCAAAAAGCATTTTCCTTTCAGAAACCAGGTTGCTTCAGCTCCAAGCAAGTACAACCAAACTACTCCATAGATGTCAGGATTGCTTTGTTTTGCAAAACAATCAAGCACAAGCAGGAAAAACTGATTTCCTCTCTCAGTTCATGCATGAACAGGCAAATGGAGACTAAGCAACTTACCAACCACAACTAGCAGAGTCCATATTAAATATATTCCACTGTTGAAGCAGGTCGCATATTGACGGAACAAGCACATACATATGGGTGGTAAAACAAAAAACAAGATGTTGCTTATCTAGGGAAAAAAATAAACAAAAGTTTCAAAATGGCAGAAAATAAACAAATCTTAAATATTCATAGGCTGCCTGAGACAATTATAGAAACATTGTGTCATCCAGTGAAGTCCCAGACCAACAAATTGGAGCTCTCAGTTTCTGCAAAAGATGAGCTGGTTTTGCAAAGCATCAACTTGTTTAGTCTCGTTAAACCTAGTAACAGCACAAAACTTTAAACAATGTAAAACTTTAAACAATGTAAAACTAGTGGCTAGTCACGTCATTAAATTATCTTTCAAATCTATTCCCAGAAGAATTTTCTTGGGAGTCTACATATACTCAAGACTGTTGCAATTCAGGAAGCTTACAAGAACAAGCAGCTGAGGAACAGGATGTCCTGACAAGTGACCTGTTCTCTCAGTGGCTGTTAAGCCTAGCATATAAAAAGCACTTTAAGTACTGGGTTAATCAAGCTTCGTGGAAGTTAATTCACTGAGCAATAGCTATTGTCTGGAAGCTGAAAAACAAAACCAAGCTAAAAGTTAGAATCCTTTTCTTGTGGGGTAGAGAGCCCAAAGCTGCAAAATTTTTTTCTCTTTGTTCTCCATTATAGAAACAACTGAATATGATTGAAAATTGGTGGTTATAAGAAGGTGAAAAGGCTGATAATTCAAACTACTGCTAGGGGCTTTAATTTAATAAGTAAAAGTTCAAAAAAAACCATGTTTCTCTTGCTAACCAACAACCTAAAGCATGGTTTTCTAGTTAAAGGCTGAAAACACTTTACTGGCCATTATCAGGAGTTGTCACTGCAGTCATCACTTGGTTCTCCCCAGAAGGAGCTGCCAGTGCTGAGGGCCAGCTGTGGCACTATACCTAGGCATTATGGAAAGGTTCTACTGCTGATTCACAACGGGACAGGATGAATTCACCAGCCCCAGCTTCCTCACCTTCCCCCACGTGGCCCAAGCACAAGAGAAAGTAATTCCCAGCAACATCCCTAAAGCGGATGTAGAAAACAACTCTGGGAAAGAGCACTCCTTTGAGACAAGTCCCCTCATTGCAGAGACTTACAAAATTTTCCTGACATTAACAAAAATCTGGTGGAGAAAGGATTCAAGAACAACACACAAAAAAGGCATTTGTTCATTCCCATACTGTTGTCCACCACTCAACATGGTCTGAGAACAGAGTTTATGATGATTAAAACAGACACATATATTTAACATTTGCAAGGCCCATCAAAGCATACTTCTAGGCTGGCATTCAAAATGACAGTAACTATAGAAGCAATTTCCCAACATCATCTACTTCACAACTGACACCTTCCCTCACACTAAAAGTACATCCTTAACAGGCAAGCTGTTTCATTCTGAAGTCTTGGCTTTAAGATTTCATTAAAATACTTACAAAGAGCCATCACCCACAGAGTTCATAGCTGCAAATACTATGCAAATCTCTGCCAGCAGCAGCCTGATAACAGCACACAGCCCAAGCAAAGACTTGCTAATGCAGAGGACTCCCTGCAGTCAGGCCAGAGAGCCTTCTCCTGATGAACTGTGCCTTCTGAACCAATGCAAGGGTTGAATCCTGATACTTATCAGCTCCAATGGCATGTTTGTCATGCAGGAATCCACCCTCATAAAGCAGAAGCGAAAAACCTGTGGGGGCACCAAGTGTAATAGACCAAGCACCTCTTCAGTAGGAATAAAAGGACAAATTACAGAAATCCTTCACCCCACCAAGGCAGGGAATTCTGCCTTTGTTGTTTACAAATTAAGATGGTGGAAAGTTGACAATATGGGCACATGGCAATGTCAGAGTGCAGGATACTGCACAATCCTGGGGAGGCAAGGTAAAAAACAAAGCATTATAAAGTAATATCCTATTCTAACATATTTTAAGAGGCAGATCAATTTCCTTAATTCATGTAAAACAACCTACACATTCAACCAAACAGGCTCACTTGTGCATCTTCCATTCACAAAAACCTCACCAATTCCATGCAGCAGAGACCGTCAGCAACACTGGTAACACAGCCATGGGCCAGGACCCCAGAGTGCAATGTGCCGACAGAAGCACAGAATGGGAGGGATCCCCTCACCTCCAAATAGGTAGGAAGCATACACAGTGACTGACAGCAGGGATGATGGAATATGAACAAGTCCTCTGAGAACCTGGGAGTGCTCTACACATTTTAGGCTATTAGACACTGTTAGGCCAAAGGGTGGTGTTAAGGGGGAAAAAATAGATGGTTATAAACAAAGTGGTGTGGAAAAAACCTCTCCATCTCTGCAGCTAGAACTGACCAACAAAGAAATCAGACCAGGTAATTGCAGTCTATATAAATTTGGCTAGAAAGTCCTTATTCTGCCTAGTAACAAGATGACAAAGAAAACACACCTACTTATCATACCTGCAGCAATGCAGGTTTATACTAGTCATTACACACTAGGGAGCAGTTCTGTCCTACATTAGTGCTCTTCTGGCACTGAACTTCTGTTCGTGCTAAGGTCCTGCCTGCAAATGCAAGAAAACCCTTGCAACCTGGATTTGGCCATAACTTGTAATCTTAGCAATGGCCACCAGGAAGATTTCCTAGCATTGTACACGTTGAAATAACTTTAGTACTGAAATTCTTTTCTATTAAGTTTACAAAAATTGTGATAATTTGGTATCTCTTCCATGCAATACTTAGTTCCACAAACATTATTTTCCACAAGCTATATTCAAATCAAGACTCTGGAACATTTTCTGAAACACTTTGCTGATGTTCTCTTAGTTCCAAGTTCGGTGTCAATTAGATCTCTGTTAGAACTGACCTGCTGGTTTTCACTCACTGATACCAGCCCGGCTCCCTGCAAGGACACACACCCTTAGATATACCACAACTAACACCACCCTTTCTAAGCAAGTGAGGCATCTATCCATTTGGCTTTGTTTTCATGCTGCATGTGCGATTTTTTTACATAATATACAATTAGACTGCATGGTTTCATAATGTATAATTCAAATGATGATACAGTTAAGATTACTGCAACAGTAACAGGAATGCAGAGAATTTTCTTTGGCATCTGCAAAAGACAGGGATTAAAAGTTACTGTTCTGGAAAAAAGGCGAGCGGCTCATCAACAGTCCATCCTCTGGCTTCATACAATACTGGACCTTTAGTTTTAATTTCCAAGTACTTAATTGTATGAAAGGAATATAGGACATGAGCCACAGAGGGAATACCAGAGGCTTCCTCAGACCACTACCACATAAGTTTACCCACATCTGGCCATAGTCCTGACAGAGGATGTTTCATGCAGTCCTTCCAAAGCTCAAGCATTCTTCGCTATCTGGTATGCCCCCCAGACAGCAGCTGCAGCATTCAACCACCATAGCAACACTTATTGCACTAACTCTTTGTGAGGAAAAAGTAAAAATGGATTAAGTAGCTCTCGGTGAGTTCACCAGGTTTGTATCTTTTATATTCTGATCCATTTTATATTTATATATTGCTTACACTAAAAACCTTCCATAGTAAAAAAGATGATGTAGAGAAAGTACAAGCATTCTTTTACACTTTTAAGACTATTCGATAACTTTTCAAAACTATGTAAACTTTTAACATACCACTAGGGGACAAAAGTTGAGGAATAAAACCACTGGCAATTCCCTCTTTAAATGGAAATCTGCCAAGAGATATGTATGACATGCACAACTGAATGCCACATACTGAACTGCAAAGTACTAACTTTGTTAACGACAGGAAAAAAAAGAAGTTACTGTTTGCAGATGTTTAAAACACAAACAGCAGCTTTTTTTTGTAAATAACCATGCACAGGGTAAATTCCTTTTGCTCATATGGGGGCATTTGTTTATCCTCTTGAGTAAGGTTACACTGCATCAGGACACATCACTCATTTCAGGAGGAAAAAAACAAACAAACAACAACCCAGTTTTCTTGTAACTGTTTCTTTAATTTGAATTACAAAGTACTTGGTGGCCTTCTTCCTGAATGTGTGTAAGATCTGAACACAAAATCACATCCTTCTAGCCCATGTATGTTTTAAGACATTAGTCTGATCAATTTGTACAAAACCTCTGGACAGATATTCTCCTACTGATTTAACCCTGTCGAGCACTTTGGTTTGTTTTTTAACTATTTAACTATTTAAATATTAACTAAATAGAGATAAATTTAGGTGTAACATATGAAGCTTGAGTCCCATCAGAATAAATTTACGATTAAAAAAAAAAAAAAACAAAACCAAAAACAACCCAACCCAAAATCAGAAAATTTTCAGATAGTGTTCCAGTTTTGTGCTTACAGGAATATTGAATGAAACCGGCACTACATCTCTGACTTTGTCTATGACACTTTAAAATGCAGATTAGCAAGGTTTTAATCTACAGCTTAAAGACTCAGATGCCACATCCTGGTCTGCTGAAGAGTCCTTCCTGAAACTTCAAGAGGGGTCTAAGTCAGAGTCAGACCTGAACCATCTAAGAAGTAATAAAATTTAGACTTCACTTAGGGCACCTCTTAGAGTAGAGCCAAAACCTCCCAACTGTCCTGTGAACATCTGGCTTTTTGGGGGCATAGGTGAACAATGCCATCAATCCACTGTGAGTCACTGTCTTAATTTTCAGAAGTTGCTAACACAGAAGCCAAACCTTACAATGACTTGTTACTACTGAAGAAAGGCTAAACACGACTACCCTCAACAAAGCCTCTCTTTC